AAATAGCACTTGTTTTATCACCAGAGAAGATAGTGAGTGCTACATGAGCTTCACACGTACAAATATACTGTACTATATATACTATTTTCCGGAAGAGGTTACTTTTAAAGTGTGAATTTCAAGTACTTAAGCATGTATTAAAATATAATTTTAAATATGGTAGCAGAGGGCAAGTCCACTTTCATTTAAAGCCCAACTCCGGGTCCCTCACACTGCAATGGGTAAATGCTGGTTTTTGCCAAAGGGTAGAGGAATAAAAAGTAATTCTTCGTTTTCTTTAATCAGTGCTCTGATTATCAGTGTAGATGTCTCTATTGACAGTTGCCAGTTATTGACAGTACTTTCCTCACACTGTGACAGAAGCATGGTTTGTCACTCCAGAGAACACGTCTCCACTGCTCTAGAGTCCAGTGGTGGCATGGAAACCCATTCCATGAAGCTCTCTATGCACTGTTGTGCTAATCTGAAGGCCAAACAAAGTTTAAAGGTCTTTAGCTATTGACTCTGCAGACAGTTGGCGACTTCAGCGCACTGTCATTTTACATGGCCTATCACTTGGTGGCTGAGTTGCTGTTGTTCCCAGTTGCTTCCACTTTGTTATAATACCATACCATGCTGCTGTCATTCAAATCCTGTGAGCCGAGAGCGGGGGCAAGACTGAGCAGCACTGGCTGTGTCTAGGGATTCACACAGCCTGGCTTGAGAGCAAGCCTATAGGTGCGCTCTCATAGGAAGCTATGATGGTGCACAGAGAAGGGGAGAAGCAGAGATCACCAATTAGGGACCTGAAAAGGGGAGGTTCAAGGCTGCTCTCTCCAATACCATTGCACAGCGCAGGTAAGTATAACATGGGATGCACAGAGCCCGGCTTGAGTGCGAGCCTGTAGGGGCGCTCTCATAGGAAGCTTCTTCGTACGATGGTGCACAGAGAATGGGAGCCGAGATCACCAGTGGGGGACCTGAAAAGAAGAGTTTCAAGGTTGATCTGTGTAATACCAATGCACAGAGCAGGTAGGTATAACATGTTTGGTATTTAAGTAAAACAAACGCAAAACTTTAAGAACTGTTGCTGTGTGTGCGATGCATTGAATGGTGACACAGAAAGTTGTATTACAGAGCTGAAGTGCACACGTTGTGGGAACACAAGACACCATAGGTCCTGGCAGCACAAAGGACACAGAGACAATAGGAATATAGTGGTGGCCAGGGAACAATTGAAAAAAGAAGCTCAAAGGAGGAAATTGAAAAAAAAAAATCAAATGCATTTATGTTGTTTTTATCTGATTTAGGAAAATGTTTTTTGCTTTAATACAACTTTAAAGCGGTGTTCCACACAAAAGTGGAAGCTACGCTTGTTTGCCTCCCCCCCCTCCACTGCCATATTTGGCACCTTTTGGGGAGGAGCGGATACCCGCTTCCACTTCTGGCTTAGTTCGCCGCAGCCAAGTGAGCCGAAGGTTTGGCCCCCTCCTTCCTCTCGCAGTTTCCTGGGAACCTTCACAGGTCACAGAAGACTGCCGGACCAATAAGGTCAACTTGCGCATGCACAGTGGGCACCCGGCTGTGAAGCCGCAAGCTGTCACAGCCTGGTGTCCACTGTTGAGATGCCTGCTCCTTGGAGGAGAGAAGGGACGGCGTGGGTGAGCACATTGCTTGACCCTGGGACAGGTACCTGTGTGTTTATTAAAAGTCAGCAGCTACAGTTTTTGTAGCTGCTGACTTTTAATAAACACATAAATGGCTGGAACTTTGCTTTAAAGTGACCCTGATCTGGCCAATAAAGTTCCTGCAACACCTCTGATAATTTGTAATTATGAATTACATTATTAGGCAATTACAGGATTCATTAAATATTAGTAATTACGTGGAGGCAACCACACTTGTCCATTATACATTATATGCAGGCTCTCCTCTTTCCTGCTTTGTACTGCTACACAATTGTTATGCTTTACTGCTCCTTTGTACAGTGCAGTTCTATAGGTCAGTTTACTGATTGAAAACAACATTTTTAATTGCTGAAAAAAGTCTATCTAACTTTCCCTTTTCTATGAATGGTAAGGAGGAGACTACAGATTTATGGTTATCATAATTAACCTCTCAGTGCTATGCTGGCAGATCTTCATTATCGGTTTGAATTAGATGTTCTCACTGTCTGTCCTTGTAAAATTTGTCCCATTTAACAGTACTGCTTGGACCTTGAAGAAGGGGACACTCCCCGAAAGCTTGTCCTCAAAATTGTATGTTAGTGGAAATAAAAAAAGTATCACGGACAGTACTCAATTGTTTCTGTCGCAAGTGCACTAATACGGCTACAATCATCCCATTTAAGAAAAACTGAAACTTAATGTGGCCTTCTCTCTGTCCTGGCATTTGGTGCACAGCCCTAGCACCTCATGAATGTGCACTCAGCTACTAAAATGCAGGTCACCTAACCACGCTTTTGCAGTTTGCTCTCTCTTTCAGGATGCTGAGCTCAGCCCCTGTAACAAGAAAGCGCAGATTGTGCATCGGTAGTTAGGTAAGCCAAGTGTTTGTTCATGAGCTGTTGGCTCTGTTCATCCAAAGGTAGGTCTGTCCTGTCATCTATGCAGTATGGAGAAGGGGAGCCCACAGTGGAAGCAGAATCAAATGGAAGGGTTTTTAGAAACAGAAGACAGCATTTTAACCACTTGACCTCCAGAAGATTTTATCCCCTTCATGACCAGGGTATTTTTTGCTATTCAGCAGTGTTCTACTTTAACTGGCAATTGCTCGGTCATGCAACACTGTACCCAAATGAAATTTATATAATTTTTTTCACACAAATAGAGCTTTCTTTTGGTGGTATGTGATCACCACTGGGTTTTTAATTTTTTATTATATAAATGAAAAAATACAGAACATTTTGAAAAAATAACAACATTTTCTACTTTTTGTTATAAAACAAATCCAATAAACAAATTGAAAAATCACATTTCTTCATAAACTTAGGCCAAAGTGTATTATGCTACATGTCTTTGGTAAAAAAAGCACAATAAGTGTATATTAATTGGTTGGTGTGAAAGTTATAGCATTTACAAACTATGGTATACAATATATACTGGAATTTACGCAGCTATAGACGCTGTACTGCTAATGATGATGATCAGTGACTTATAGTGTGACTGTGATAGTGTGGATGGCAATCTGGTACTAACATACACTGGCTGGGAGGGACACTAACTTACTGACACTGAAATTGCAATTGACACTGATACGGTGATCAGATATAATATTGTACACTGTACTAATGACACTGGGTGGGAAGGGGTTAACATCAAGGGGTTAACTGTGTACCTAACAAGTGTAATGTGTGCTGCTTTTACTCACAGATCTGGCTGTTTTTTTCTACCTGCTTTGGGGGAGGGGAGAAACAGCCAGAAATCTTTGGCTGAAACCTACTTTCAAACTTGTGCTGTCTCCAGTCACACCACAGGTCAGCAGGGGTTGCGCACAAGCAGTAATGTACATGTATGTTGCCGAGCCTGCAGCTGCTCTGCCCGCTTGCAGTAGATGTACTGTGAACGGGTGGCAAGGGGTTAATGTACAGACAAAGCTGCAATAGATAAGGATTTTTTTTTAAATGTCATTATAGTTGAATGCAGGTTGCCAAACCTCAGGGTTTGGTTGGTACACTGAATGCTAATGCATTTTTAAATGAATCAGTCCCCTAAGTGCACCTTGCAAGTTATTCTGAACAATACAAGTGTCCTACATATAAACCTGTCCCAAAGAAACAACCAGAAAGGTAGGAAGTTTTTAAAAATTATTCTTAGGTATCCTGTGTGAATGATAACACATAGCAAACATGTAGAGGAGCAGCTTTGACTGCAAAAGTGGAAATGCACATTAATCTCCTTTTGCTCCTCCCCAGCATCATTCAGTGTTGGGTGGCAAAGGAGACACCTGGGGCTTCTGGGTATGGAAGTGCATGTGACCCACGTCAAGTGAAAGTCCAATCAGTACTGTCCTGGCCATACAAGAGTCAAACTTTGGCCAATTCCTGTCCTATCAGCACCACCAAATTCAACAAAACTCGACTAAAAAAACTGAAGGTGCTGGGCAGAAAATTATCAGATGCAGTCACTGTTTTGGAATTGAAGAAGCTGAGGGTGCTGCACCCACTTGAATACAATAGCTGGATGTGTGGATTCCTCAAGGGAGGATGGTAAATTCACACATGGTGTTACTTTTCTCCTGATGGCTGAACAGAGCTTAGGGATAGAAAAAGGAAAGTTCAAATATGTGGGTTAGTTAAAGGGGAGCCTGCTTGGGCATATGATTGTCATAAATACAATCAGGTTTTACAATCTCCTTTACCAACAGCTTTGCAGTAAACAACCAACAACCATGCAGTGAGAGGACCTGCCTAATCAATTAATTCCATATAGAGATCATCTCACTACATGGTTGTTAGTAAATCTAAGGCAGGCCATAAACGAAAAATCGGTCGGGCTCCGTTGCCGATGCTGCCACCCATTTCCACAAAAAATTGCTGTTTTTTGTGTATTTTCCAGCATGACCGATAAAAATAAATGAGGAGATCTGCGAAAAAACGGCCGACGGGCTGGCCCCACTAACGGCGTGATTATCAGCCGATTTTTCGTGCGGACCAAAATTCGGCCGATAAACGACCCGTCTATGGCCTGCATAAAGGGGATTATATGGAGAATGTACAATCAGATTATAATTTGTATGGCCAGCTTTAAATCCCAAAGTAGAATTAGAAACATTGACCATTGGTTATGTATTTAATTAAAATGCCCCAGAACTCTTGGAATTTTTCATTCACCAACCTGTTTAATATATATTTTGAAGATAAAACATTTTTAATTTACATTTTTATTATTAAAAACAATACCTTGACCCCTGTACAAAACATCTAGTATTTATTTTTTCATAAATATAAATATATATATATATACAATATTTACATATAAAGTTTATCTGGGCATATGAAGATACTGTATATACACAAAGGTCTAGCTGCAGCCACACTCTTCCACAATCATTTCTTCATGATGCCTTAAGACAACATCACCACCTTCATAATACAGCATGGACAATGGGCTCATTCTCACTGGGACACAGGCTGGGCATTCCACGTTCTCAGGCTGGTACAGCTTCACCACACTCTGAAAAAACAAGAAGAAAAATGTGAATTGCAATGTGTATGTTGGGGTTATGACACAAATAATAAATCCCTTTCTCATATGACAATATTATAATACCTATTTTTTAATACCTAATAATGCAGATAACGGGGCTGATTCATTGACAATAAACACAACAGCATGATCTGAAAGGTAAGGTTGCTTCCCAGTCAGAATTCTTGCATAATTTCTTTACAAAGTAAATTTTGATATTATGTTTTTGTATTTTTTTATATTTTAATTATTTAGCAAAACTAGATTTTAAAAAGGCTTTATATTTATTTGAGTCTCTATCTATGGCGTTGATTTACTAAAACTGGTGAGTGCAAAACCTGGTGCAGCTGTGCATAGAAACCAATCAGCTTCCAGATATTTTTGTCAAAGCTTAATTGAACAAGCTGAAGTTAGAAGCTGATTGGCTATCATGCACAGCTGCACCAGATTTTGCATACTCAAGTTTTAGTAATTCAACCCCTGTGTATTTATTTTTTATCTAACTGCCTATGTTTCTGTCACAGATTAGATGAGTACCATTAAAAGCACATTAAAGAAGCTAAAAAATGTGAAGATGACCTACTAAACAGCTTTTACATTATTTTTGCTAGACAAGATTCTATAGAATGCAAACAACATATGAACCTTATATACAGATATATTTTCACTTGTTGACAGTAAAAGGGAAACTAAGGAGTATATACACTAAGTACAAATTTTGAATTATTGTTACACTTCTTGGAAAGTAGTGTATGTCTTTTGTGTGTATATTTGACTGCTGTATCGTATTTTGATCATTTTATTTCATGTACATATTTTAAAATTGTCTTTCAATAGTGATCTATATATAACAGGGAATGTGGTTTGCATCCTGCTTTAGAATCATAGAGAGCCTGTTGTGTCCCATCCAGTCTGGGGTGTTAATAAAATGTTCACTGAGAGGGAAAGGTGAAGCACAGTTACTGTGCAGGACTCCTAAGCAGGAAGCACATCCTGTAATAAGCGTATTTGGTTTCTTGAATGTCTGTCTATAGTCTTATAACTATATACAGATTTTTTTTAACACAATAACTCTCATTGATCCATAGCTTTACATTAATCTGACCATAGTCATGTATATGACTAAAATATTCTAAAAAAAAAAAATAATGGTTTCAATTTTAGAATGACATATACCTCTGAAATGACTAATGTCAGATTAGAGTTACCATTGTCCTTCAATTATGTCATCAATGCTGTATACATAATTACATACAGAGCTGGGTTACTTCCATCCTAACATATTTTTGTGCAGTTGGCATTCGTGCATTATGTAGTATGTTAAAAATATATTATTTAAATTGGGTTGCATCCCTTCTCTTACCTTCATGTAAGCATGGTTTGTTGGTTTGAATGTCTCATTCAATGGGATTGGACAGGCGCCCTCACATCTGTAGGCATTATACTTCTTGGGATAGACAATCCAATCTCCCCATCCAATTTCACCAAAGTCTACAACCATATCCACCCTTCGGCACAAAGGTTTCCCATTTTCTACAGGCCTCGAAGGCACATTGTTTAACAGCGTATGGTGGTTCTCATTCCTGTTCCTTCTGTGTCTCCGGATGGCTGATATTCTGCTAGCTTTCTCCAGTGCAACATACTTTGATGACTCCACTGTTTTTATGAGACTAGGAGAACCAGATATGCTGTCATAGGACTTGTCCTTTGCAAACACCACAAGCACAACTCTGTCTGCACTGAATGTATAAGTGGTCTGTTGTCTACTGTGTTTTGGTTCAAATTCTATATCGGTGTCCATGGCTTTCTCTGTCATGTACTTGGACTTTATGTGCTCATCTATGTAACTTTCTCTTATGTGCTGGAGGAAGAGCTGAAGCATTTGAGTAAGGTCAAAGCTAGCCCAGGAAGAACCTTTGAAGGTAGCAGGATCTATCTTGAATGAACCAAGGTAGAGTTCTTTTCCTTTCTTGCTGTGATAGATCTCTAAGGTTTTGTTCTCTAATATCGGGAATGAAGGGATGTGTATCCTTAGCTGGGCCAACTGTAACTCATTGCTGCTAGAAATCGAGGACATATCGAAAGACAACTTGAGGCGGTTATTGACTTCTGTAAAATCTGCAAGAAACAAACCGGTTCCAAAATATTAACATTCATATATTGTTTTGCAGCTTTGTTTTCCTAGATGTCACTAACAAGAGCATCTAATGTGTCAAGTTGCTGTCTGTATGGTGGCCAGACAGGAATAGTCCTAGACACTCAATACACAAAAAATAGTTGGATAACAAGTGTTTTAACACTTATACTCAACAGGGGTAAGTCTTGTAACAGACCGTCCATCTTCCTGACTAGAGGAAAGAGAAAAGGGTCATTCCTTGGCCACTTGAAAAACAGTTAATCATATTACTTTTACTACATGTATTTGAAAGTGAATGCATCACTAAACTTGGGAAAAAATGCCTATTAATTTTAAAATAAAACCAATCGCTTAAATCTTATCCCATATAAGCTGTAACATGTTAGTGTAATTTTCAGTCATTTTAAAACTTCAGCTTTCAATAAAATAACACTTGGTGGTCCAGCTTTTCTCCAGAAAACTCCGGTTATAGGGTGACAGCACTTTGTCCCTGTTCCCCAAATGTGCTTCTATGTTGTCACCCTGTTGCATGGCTTTTACTGGAGATGACAAGTGGCTATTTATACACATATTCTGCAGGAATGGCCTACTGTTGACACCATAAGGGAACTCGCCCTGAGAACCACCATGCTGCCCTTACTGGAGTGCATGTAGATGCAAAGAGTCTGGAGGCGATCAGCAGTGCTGAGATGCAACAAAGCATGAAAAAAGTGAACATTAATGTGCTTTAATAAAGATCATTATTAAAAAAACAGTGCTTTAGCAAACTAAATGTTTTAGCTGCTAAAATTGAGATCTAATTTAAAGAAAATATATTTCTAAACTTGCTTAGAAATTAAAGATGTATTTACTTACTTTTTGCAACAAGGCTTAGCACGGTGTCATAATCTGATACGTTGGCTCGTTCAAATAATTTTGACTCATTCCTCATTGTTTGTTGATTGTGGTAGAGCTGCATCATATACAAAGGATACTTCATATTTTGTAGGTGTCTTTTTCCGGGAAGGATGGATGAAAGTTTTAAGCCCAGGTCAGATCCTGGAAGACCAACTCTTGACTCTGTTTCAAAAAGTGTGGGTATCCCATGCACTATGAACAGTAGTGCAAAACTCAGTGCAGTGTTAAGCGCAATCATTTCTACTCAACTTCTCTGTGTTGCCCCTTAATTCTGGAGATGTTGCCAGTTCTCACACTCTCTGAGTTAACACTGGTTGTGCCCACTGTATATATAGCAGGGAGGCTTGAGCTGTTCCTTTACTCTTCACACCTAATGACCTTTTGGTCTACATGACCTTAGCATCAAAAGCCAATCACTTCTAGGGCCATGTCAACTCAATGGCTCCCTGCTGCTAAACTAATGACTCCACAGTGGGATTCTTGCAAAATGTCAAAGCTGCATCCTATGATACTTCATGCCTCATTCTGAACGGGTAGGGTCGGTTGTAACATTACAGTAAAAGTCTACATACACCCACCTGTGGACTTGCAAGTCTTTAACTCTCTTACTCTTTAGGTAGATAACTGGATGATATTTAGAGCTTATTCACACAAGTTCAGTTGACCTGCATTGATCTGCAAACCACAATGCTGCATTGCGCAAACATTGCTGGCATGCTTCTTTTTCTCCACACCATTTTCTACATAATGCAATGTAGCTCACCTGAAATCAACGTTGGTCAACACACTGCAATTCCAACGCAATGAATGGAAATGAGTGAAATTTCACTTTGTGACATTTCAATACAGTGAGAAAAAGGAAAAAAAATAAACATTTCCTCACGTAACAATGCAAGGTACTGCCTCTTACCACTGCTGTGCATCGGACACCAGCTCTTACTTGGCTAAAGTACTGTGCACCATAAACAATTGCCATTTTTAACTGTTTAAGGACTGCCCTATAGCAAATATACTGCTACAGGGTAGCACCTGTGCGCAGGATCGTGTATATATATACACGTCATTCTGCATTTCCGGGTAAGGGGTGAGTGCGAGCCGCATGAGCACCTTCCCCGCGCCACCATTCGCGGGCGTGCATATCAATCACCGGGTCCCGACTGGTAATTACCTGCTGGCACTCCGTGATTATCAAGCATCTCCAAAGAGGAGGAATATTGTTTTGTTTTCAAACAATCTTCCTCCCTGTCAGCTCTAGCACACTGCTCGGGATGGCTGTGCACAGTACAGCCATCCCAATCAGTGTGCATACAGTGAGAGTAAAACACTCTCAGCACACAGTTGACCCTTTGATCGCCCCTCACATTAACCCCTTCCTGCCCAGTTTCATTAGTACAGAGTGAGTGCTTTTTTTTAGCACAGATCACTGTATTGGTGTCACTGGGGTGTCAGTGACACCAAGTTAGTTCCCCCCAGTGTCAGAATGTCTGCCGCAGCCATGGTAAACGTCGCTGATCACCGCCATTACTAGTAGGATAAAAAAAAAAAAAACATTATCTATACCGCCATTTGTAAACACTATAACTTTCACATAAACCAATTAATTTACATGTATTGGGATTTTTTTTTTAGCAAAGACATGTCGCAGAATACATTTTGGCCTAAATTTATGACGAAATTTGAATTTTTTTTATATTTTTTTACTTGACATGTTTAATAGCAAAAAGTCCAAATTATTGTTTTTTTCTCAAAATTGTCAGTCTTTTTTTGCTTATAGCGCAAAAAATAAAAATGCACAGATGATCAAATACCACTGAAAGAAAGCTCAATTTGTGGGGAAAAAAAGGACATGACCGCGCAATTGTCAGTTAAAGTAACGCAGCACCGTATTGCAAAAAATGGCCTGGTCAGGAAGGGGGGGAAATCCTCAGGAGGGCAAGTGGTTAAAGTAAAATACTTGTTTTCAGCCTTTTTCATTTTTCCCCTTTGTTGCATTTCAGTTGCTGATAATCTAAAGTAGCCTCTTTGCAACCATATCCTTTCTACATGCAATCCATCAATGGCTGCTTGGCATTTCTTAGAGCAGGTCTTTTGATGGTGACAACAGTGGACCATGCCATGTATGTTGAAACAGTCCCTTGTAGTTTCATTCAGTAACCCGTATGGCAGGGAGACAACAAAGGAGCTTAGCTGGGAGACAGGGATAAAGCGTTGTCGCCCCTTACCATTCATCAAGCATTAGAACACTCTAGAATCAATGTAATAGTATTGGGAATCAATGTTACAAAAAGAGCCTGGACAGCCTTGTTAGACAAATTCATTCCAGGTATTCCTAAGTTCTCTCAGACATGTATTTTCTTTTCCTAGCCTCCAAAATTGGTAAGTCATGGAAAACCTCTGTAGTATTGTTAGACTTTATGAAAAACAGACTATCTTGCATCATGATCAATGAAAAGCAATCTAGTATAATTAACGATAAAAGAGAACTCTTGGAGAAAACGTGAACCCTGAACCAAAGATACTGCATACAACTATGAAACCTCTGCGGTATTGTTAGACTTTATGAAAAACAAACTATCTTGGATCATGAGCAATTGATCAATGAAAAGCAATCTAGTATAATTAACGATAAAAGAGAACTCTTGGAGAGACCGTGAACCCTGAACCAAAGATACTGCATACAACTATGAAGACTCTATGAAGGACGGGACTATTGATTTGCAATATACCATTTTGGGGTACGTGGGGGTCACGCTCCTGGGTAATAGAAGGGCTGGCAGATGGCACTTTTTCTTGATCCCTTTTCATAGTTTATAAGAAGTTGAGCCAGGGAAGTCTTTTTTTGCCAGATCCATTTCTGATAGACCTTGGTCTTTCCTCTTAACATTCTTCTCTTTCTTTTATTTATATCTTTCTTCACAATGTTGTATTAGCCAGCACTTAAATATTGACCACAAACCTGGATCAAATGCAGTGATTTACAGGGACATGAGTCAAAGCTTAGTCATGTATAAAGCTTTACTGCTAATTTTGCTTTGTCAATGATAGATATGAGGTCTTATTGATGGATAATAATCCAGCCATGGATATTAGGTGAATGTTACTGCCCCTTGCACTGTATCATTGAAGGAGTGGTAACCATTAGATTATTGTTGGCTTTGTGGCTTGACGTTTCAGGCATACTAGTATGTAATCTTTATTGCATTGCTTTCAATAAAAAAATCACTATCCGCAATCAGGATTTCTAATAAACTGTAAAAAAGCTTTTTTACTTAGATCAATTAAAAATGGCAGTAACAAAAAGAAATGATATGTCGAGACTCTCCAGGCTTCTTTTCAATCTCTGATCTATTTTACAGCTTAAGAAATTCTGAGTGCAGATGCAGGATAAAGATTTTTTGTACTGACTGATGATGTAACCCCTGGATTGCCATAGGGAGTAGTTATCCAAGAACAAGGCATGATTTAAGGTGTGTGCTCTGGAAATGAGGTTCTACATCTCTTGAGTTAACCAGAATAGGCATGTTAACATGCAGCATAATTTCTAGATACATTCTACTATGTATATGAGTATGTGATCTTAAGTGTTGAATAAGAAAATGTTTTCAGTTAAGCTTTCTCTTAGGTAAATATCCCCAGTCTCCTGAGGAAGAGACACACCACCAAATGCGTTGGAACCTCCGAAAACCTTTCTGCATACTCAGCAGTTGTAAAACCTCCTGCTATGGAAGATTTCCAGATGTCTGACATTTTCTTCGTGAATACACACCTTGCTATTTGGTTTTATTGGACCTTCTTTTATCTTTTTTGTATAACACAAAATTATAATCATTTTTACATTTTGAGTTGCGATTCCATTTCTTGAGTTCTTTTTGGCATCATTAAAATCCCTTGTTTGTCCCTTTTTCTGTGTTTTCATGTATAATTAGGGATGTGGTAACACTTATATCATATTGCATCAATGTGATATTATGTCTCTAGGAAGAGTCAAAATCCTCTAGGACACCCACTTTCTCTTTTAGTTGATCACCAGCTCTCCATTCGTCTCTAAAAGGGATTCAACCTCAGAAAAAGGTCTCTCCCTCCAAGCATGATATACTCTAATTATTCCTGGTACAAAAACTGGGATTTTCCAGCTAGGCCATAATGTTAGAATGTTCAAAACAAAATTTTAATGTGTTACAAAAATATTCCCAAGCCTTAAGAATGTCCCCAAAATAAAATGATTTATACAGAATGTCTGGTATTTCCTTTTTATGAGCATGCAGCCAGAACACCACTGCCAGACTCTCCAAGAGTTGCTCCTTAAACTCTGCCTCCTGACTTCCTAGCTGACAGTGGTTATAACCCTTCCCTATTCTACAGAAAAAACATGCCTAGAGGTGGACGTTAAGGCGATCGATAATCATGTAAAAAACACTTGAAATTTATATTTAATTTCCCAATCAGATAGTATGTTAATTTACCAGTGTGTTCAATAATATGATTTAGCCAATTCAGTTAGTGAGAAAAACCTTCCAGCGTCATGCATTAAATAAATGGCAAAACAAGGGAAAGTGCAAGTGCATTTGTTTTTAATACCAAAATATAAATATATAGTTACATTAAATATCATTAATTTACAATATTTACAAATACCTTATTGCAAACATTAAAATTACAACCTTGGCAGACTGATGACACCAGAAATCTTAAACGACATAGTCGTGCGCTGGAGCGATTGTGGAGTAAAACCAAATCTCAAAAAGCATTCACTCTATATAAATCTGCTTTCTTAACATACAATTCCTCCCTTCATGCTGCCAAACAAGCCTACGTTGTTACTCTTATTAATACTTTATCATCCAGTCCTCGTCATCTCTTCTCTACTTTTAACTCTCTACTTTCTACACCTCCACCCAGTACCTCACTCACTGTGCTCACGAGATTGCAAATCATTTCAAATACAAGATTGACGCAGTTCATAGGGGCATCGCCACTGCACAGACATCCATCCCACTTAGCATACCTTATACTAAACCTCCCTCAACACTTTCCTCTTTTGACCTTGCTACTACTGAAGAGGTCACTAAGGTTTTCTCAGAAGCCCATCTCACCACCTGCCCCTGGATCCTGTCCACTCACAACTACTACGGTCACCCTCTTCTTCCATCCTATGCTCCCTCACTCACATCTTCAACCTTTCCCTCTCTACTGGTGCCTTCTTTTCCCCTCTAAAGCATGTGCACATCACTCCCATACTTAAAAAGCTCTCCCTGGACCCCACCAACCTGGACAACTTAAGATCCATCTCCCTGCTGCCATTTACCTCTAAACTCTTAGAACGCTTGGTCTACAATCGCCTGAGCTCCCACCTCACCGACAACAACCTTCTTGACCCTTTACAGTCTGGCTTTCGCTCACTACACTCCTCTGAACTGCCCTACTAAAACTCACTAATAATCTACTAACTGCTAAAACCAATGGCCACTACTCCGTACTCTAACTACTTGACCTCTCTGCGTCTTTTGATACGGTTGACCATCCCCTCCTCCTCAAAAAACTACACTCTCTTGGCCTCAGAGACTCTGCTCTCTCCTGGTTCTCCTCCTACCTATCGCAGCGCTCCTTCAGCGTTATCTATAACGCTGCTTCCTCTTCTTCACTTCCTCTTTCTGTAGGGGCCCCTCAAGGTTCTGTCCTTGGAACCCTTCTCATCTCCATCTACACCTCCTCCCTTGGTCACTCGATAAACTCCCATGGCTTTAAGTACCATCTCTATGCTGATGATACACAAATCTATCTTTCTACCTCTCACCTCACCCCTTCAGTCTCCTCTCGCATTACTAACCTACTAAGTGACATATCGGCATGGATGTCACTCGACTTCCTCAAACTCAATCTTTCCAAAACTGAGCTCTTAGTATTCCCCCCAGCCCGTGCCCCTCGCCTGACTTCTCCATCACGATCAATAACACAATCATCAGTCCCTCCCCTCATGCCAGGGTACTAGGTGTAATCCTAGACTCCATCTGTCCTTTCAGTCCCAAATCCATTCACTGTCCAAATCTTGTAGACTTCACCTCCGCAACATCTCCAAGATACGCCCGTTCCTAACCTCGGAAACCACTAAGCAACTTATTCACTCCATTGTTATATCTTGCCTTGACTATTGTAACTCCCTCCTCATTGGCCTACCTAATTGCAGGCTATCCCCTCTTCAGTCTATCATGAATGCTGCTGCCAGACTCATCCACCTTACTAACTGTTCTGTATCTGCCACCCCTCTCTGCCAATCCCTCCACTGGCTTCCCATTGCCCAACGGATAGAATTCAAAACATTAACAATAACGTATAAAGCCATTTATAACTCTGCCCCAAATTACATCACCGATCTTGTCTCTAAATATCACCCAAACCGTACTCTCCGCTCCTCGCAAGACCTCCTACTCTCTAGCTCCCTTGTCTCCTCCTCCCATGCTTGTCTCCAGGACTTCTCCAGAGCTTCCCCCATCCTCAGAAACTCTCTACCCCAATTTATCAGACTACTCTGATCACTTTTAGGCGATCTCTGAAAAACTATCTATTCAGGGAAACCTATCCTGCCCTCAGCTAATAATGGAATCTTCTACTCTTCCAACCAGTCTATCCCCCACAGTTACTACCTTTTGTACCACTAGCCCCTCCCTCTTAGATTGTAAGCCCTCCTATCCCTCTTGTATTGAACTGTATTGTTGCTGTATTGTCTCCCGTTATATTGTAAAGCGCTGAGCAAACTGTTGGCGCTATATAAATCCTGTATAATAATAATAATAAGCTAACAAGACAAAGGAATCAGTTGCATCCACATGACTCCACCACCATGTCCTTGTGGTGCTTCAGTGAAATCTTGTCATCTTCTTGCATCAACATTGACATTGCATTCATCTTTACTGGTATGCAGGAGGAACACTCAACTTTCTCTGAATCATACATCTTCACCAGACTCTAAAAAAGTGCAAAAAATTAGAAATTACAGATAAGTATAGCTTGGAATATATAAAGGACTCACTGTTTACATTGTATATATTTTACTTTATTCTATTACATAGCATAGTTTCAAATAAGGAGGAAGCCGTATGTATAGAAGACTGTGTGGCGTTTATGGGCCCAGAATTATAGGGGGCCTAAAGCCATCTGGATACCGAGTGATTTATATTGGGAGCAATAGAATTTGAAAAATACCTTTTGGATGAAATTATTGTGTAAAACATTTGAGCAATTGCTATTAAAAAAATATATTTTCCATGATTACAGGAATTGCCTTTGAGGATTAGAAAGACAGGGGGACCTTTAATGGTTTTGTTATGGGGCACAAGATAAAATTGCATAATTGCAATGTAATGTCCCTTTCAAAGTCACGCAGACAAACACTCACAAGGCCAGTAAACAGGCTGGCTGTAAACTGATTAGCCTATATGTTTGGATTGTTGATTGGAATCTGGACTATCTTGAAGAAACCCAGGCACAGCAATAAAAGTGATATCACATAGTTATTACCAGATTACAGTCACATTAACATACTGATCGGTAACACTTTGAGAAACGATGCTCTAAGATTTCACATCTAGCATGGCTCCCACTGTTGCCTCCATGGCCAGTGAGGAGAGAGAGCAGCTCCTCAAAGAATGTTTTTTACCTTAATGCAGAGTATGCATTAAGGTAAAAGACTTTCTCCTTTTACAACCACTTTAATTTAAGCATAGGTCTGAGGAAAAAAAACAATATGCATGTAGTACATCTCTGCAATACATGCAATGCAATACAGTTTCCCCAAAGCAAAGTATCTGTGGATCTGTCATAAATCCAGTGAGCTCCTAACTTCCTGTAGTGACCTGACAAGTCTGCATTTGCAGCACTGAAATTGCAAATTGCTGTTATCACCCCTGCCCAGATTTCCCATACTGGACAATGGAACAGTTTTGTTATGGAGATGAGAAGAGGAGGAGTTCTGTAGCCCAGTAATAGAGTACTGATCAGGGATGACAACCCTGTTTGGGATTTCAGTGTGAAGAGGCACTGTGGTGTCGGCTTAAACATGATGTTGGGAGCACACTGCATTTCTGGCAGATCAGAAAGTATGTTTCTGCATTTATTGCATTTTTTAAAGGATGAAACATGGGCAAATGTGCATGTATTGCAGAGATGTTCTGAATGTGTTTTTTGCAAGACATACACTTTAATATCTCTATTGGGTAAAACATGCCTAAATATTTTTCCACATTCTTTACTAAGTTAAATTAAATAGGTGCTTGTTAAATAATTACCTTTATGAATGCATGATTGGTTGCCTTTAAGGTCTCATTCAATGGAATTGGACATGCCCCCTCACATCTGTAAGCATTGTATATTCTTGGGTAGATGATTTGATTTCCCCATTCAAATCTTTCAAACTCTACCCCCACATATCTACCCGTCTGCAGAGGGGTACACCAGCTTCTACTTTTGACGGGAGGCCATTGATAATTAGGCTGTGTTGTGAAATGCGGTTTCTCCGGTGTCTCCTTAGACCAGTCAGCTTGGTTGTCTTTTCTCTCATGATGTACTTCGAAGACTGGACAGTCTTAATGAGACTGTGAAAGCCAAAATGGTTGGCAGAGGTCTTTTCCCGAGCAAACACAACTAGCATCACTTTTTCGGCAGAGATGTACATAGCAGACAATGGATCTGTATTCTGATGTTGAACTTGTCCATGCACCCTAGCATTACCAGATTCCGTGTGACATTCTGTAATTTCCTCTGCTGCTACATAATCAGGATTTAGCATTGACTCCCCATGGTGGATGGAGTATTGGACAATTCTGGTCAAGTTAAAAATCTTCCACGAGTTGCCTTTTGCAGCTGAAAGGTTTGACATGAATGACCCCATGATGAGCTTGTCATGACCATGCTTGGAATGGTATATCTCCACTGTGATATTGCCTGCCTTTCCGAAAGAAGGAAGAAGAACTCGGAGTTCCACTAGCTTGAGCTCGGTGTTGGTGGATATTGAAGACATATCAAACGACATCCTCCAAAGGTTTCTTGCTTCGCTGACACCTGGATTAAAGAAAGAAAGAGTTTAGACATCTACACCTGCAAATCATATCAGTTCCAAATAGTACTGAAAATATTTTTATAACTGGCATACAATTTTATTTCAAAACTACAAGAAACCATCAAAATTAGATACATTGACATCTGATACACAGAAAGACAGCTGAACTGACATAATTTGACTACACTTCTGAAGGATGTGTAAACCAGACTTTGAGGTTGATTTACTAAAGGTAAATGTACTGTGCACTGCAAGTGCACTTCAAGAGCACTGCAAGGGCAGTTGCTTTATATCCAAGGGGAAGCTCTGAGATGAGGTGAAGGTCTGCTGATTTCTTTCATCCAATCATTTGCAAGCAAAAATTCTTTCAGTGCACTTGCAATGCACAGACTATTTACCTTTAGTAAATCAACCCCTTGTGTCTCTTGCCTAATATTGCCCAAAATATCTTAGCTTCATTGCTTTTCCTATATCGTTTTTGAAAATGCCTGAAAAAAAGATTTAAAGTAGTTGCATTGTAAATATAAATCATAGAAGAATAGTGATTACACAGTCTTATTATACTATTGAACAGTAACAGTATTATTAATGAGAATAGATATGGGACTTGGTACATTCTGTAAAATCTCCTGACTTGTGGCTATTCTTTTATTCCACAGTAGCAGGGATTGATTCCTACTCTCTGTATATGAAATCTACAACTTCTAAACCAGTTGGAAAAGGTTGTTGTATCATTACTAGCATATGGATATGATTTTGAAGACAGCTGGATCACACAATGTTAAGAGGTAAAAGACAGCTGTACTTGCAAAAAGTACAGTTATCCTTTTTGCCTACCCCCCCAACCTAAAATACCCCATCTTCCCCCAGGCCCCAGATACTTTCTACCTGAACTTGATGTTTGCAGCTTGAAGAAAATCTTTAGAGCTTCCAGGCAAATTCTTCTTTCTCCTGGCTGTGCCCGTGCAGCTGATCCTTGAAGACCTTTATGAGGCTATCCCCTGATATCCATCTTCTGTATCAGGAGACAACCCTCAAAAAAGTCTATGGGGAATGACAGCTCAGGCATGGCCAGGGGAAAGGATGAGTTCTCTAAAGATTGCTACAGGTTGCTGCTATCCGATTCAGGTAAGTATACAAAGATAAAAAAAGGTCTTTTAAAATAATCTAACATGGATATTGATAGTAAATCTATAAAATAAGAAACCTAAATAAAGAGCATGCAGTAAATGTTATATTGATTCAGTCCTTATTGATATTAAGAAAGCATACAACCTCTTTAAGACCCAATCGAATGAAATCTGGAAACAGCAAAAAGACAGGTAAGGATAAAGATAGACTGGGGTTTGACACTTTAGGCCCAATTATCAGGTTCATTAGAAGGATCTAATGGACTACAGGTTCAGTTTGCACTCTAAATTAATTTAAATGAGAATGCAGATATCCTTGTGAATGGCTAAATGTAATAATGATCATGTTCTTTGGCCACAGAGTTTTGCAAGCTTGTACTGTGCACTAAATGATAGTTCTTGTTACTCAAAAGATTGTAGTAAATCCAAAAGATTCAAATGTTTAAGCATTTGCTGGACAAACTGTCCAGGATGTTACATACCTTACTTGCACTCATTTGTAGTAAGTTAAATACACCCAGACTCCACAAAAAACATTTAGACAAATGTCAGAAGGATGTGTATTGAGCCGTCTGCATGCTTTTTTAATACAGGGCTGAAGCTGAATACACAAAATGTAATGACATAATGAGTGCTTAGCACCCAGAGTCTACATAGGGAAGTCTACCCATGAGCCATCCATCAATGCACTGAAGTAAATAAACAAATCACAAAAAAGGGCACTTAGACAACCTGATTTACAGTATTTCCACTCTTAGATGGATAACATATGTAGTTTACTGTTTGCACATGAGAAATTATAGACAATTTAGCTTAGATAAGGGATCTTATCAAGAACTATGCCAATATAATAGTAATCACACACAATAATTACATGCAATAGATAGCCTGGAAACAGAAACCATCAATGGCAGATAAAAATGATTGGTCTAGATTGTCCATTTATACATAATTATCTTGCAAACCAGACAGCTTTAGCTCTGTTTTGGTAAAGGTCATCAGACAGCGTATAGAGAAACCAATGATTCCGTGATTTATCATTATTTCTTCAGATGCGGGATTTGCATTACACATATATTACATCATTAATGGTTGTTTCAGATGCCTCCCAAATGATCCAGACAACTGTCAGAGTTGCCAAAAGTCTGAACCTTACAGGCCGATCATACATCTTATATGACTATAAACTTGTTAAAAATCTTTTTCTTTTCTATAATCAAATCTGTACATAAGGACAGCCATATGGTGCCCAATATATGCAGATGAAGTGTCCAATTGCATGGCCTGCACAAATCAAACATTGGATATGCTTTCTGTTACTTAAAATTGTTAAGCATTCTGGAAATGCAAACAGACAGTCTGTCCCTGTGCACACATTAAAAATCAAAAAATTAAGCAAGGTATTGCACAGTAAAAATAATGACTTACTCTTGGCAGTGATGCTGAGAACCATGTCAGATTCCTGAAGGACACGATGTTCCAAGCCAGGAAAATAAGTACCATTTGCCATGAAGAGTGACTGATAAAGCTGCATCATATAGAATGGGTAATCGATTTTATGTGAGTGCTTTTTCCTATTTGATAAATCCTGTTCATCTGTATGCCTTTCCAGAGGGGTGGCAAGAACGGATGTAATAAGTGCAAGGCAGATGATACTGCTAAGTAGAACCATGTCTGCTGTGGACTTTTGCTTGTAGAAGAGTAGGTCTGAACTGAAGACTGAGGACATACTTTATATAGTACTGAAATGTATTCACTCCTATGGCTGTTCACACCTATGGCTGTTCACACCTAACCCATATTCATGTAAATAGACTGTACATTGTAAGACAGTTTAGTCTATGCCAGTGTCTGGATAATGTTTCCCAACTGTTATGTTAATGCCCAGTGTCTGAACTGTCTCACATGTTAGGTTCATTCAAGACCTGCTCAAGAATGAGATTTCATGGGTGTACCTGTAAACCAAAATATTCAAGAGCAAGAGCAAAGACTAATTTGCTACTAAAATGGACATTTGGGATAATCCATTAATTTCAGCCATACAAGTGGATAATTAGTTTCAGTTAACGCCTGATAAGTGTTTAGGAGTGTTCAGAATGAAGGTGGCCACAGACCTATGATATCCTGACTCTCCTACAATTCTTCTTTTCACATACAAACTCACACCTAAAGTCAGCCGTAGACAGACTGAAACTTTGCCAGTTCAGCAGAAACCAGCTGAATTGTGATCCATCTATGGGAAGGCTAGTTGTACTAAAGTTGATCTATCGATTGATATTGTAAAGCGCTGAGTAAACTGTTGGCGCTATATAAATCCTGTATTATAATAATAATAATAATCGATTGACTTCAGTACAACCACCCTATTAGGCTTTTTTCCTACCATCACTGTATTCTGTTGGCAGGGAAACCTCCTGCTGTCAGAATTTAATAGTGCAACCAGAAGGATTCCTCCATCAACACTGACTATGTTACTGCAGGAATCAAGTGATTTTCTTTCCTTCAACCCATGGTTGAAGGAAAGAAAATGTAATCGTTTCAGAGCATGGATATTTCTGTTGTCAGATTCAATGATCGGCAATCATTAAAGATTTTCAACTATGTCATTATTCCCCCCACAATCAGTAGGCCAGAGTTGACTGATGGTGCCTATAGACATGAGATTGTCATCCAGTCCAGTTAAATTGGTAAAATTGGAATAAAATCATCTTTTATATGCAGCCAGCTTAAGGAAACCATAAATATAAATGAGTATTGTGGATCAGTGGGTTTAGTATATGGATGATTGCTCTCATTGGCTGGGGTTGGATATTGTCACTATTATTTCTCCAGTGTAAAGCCTAGTACACACGATCAGAAAACCGGATTAAAAATACAGCTTTCAAAGTGAACTTACGATAAACTAATCATTAGTACACAGCTTTTGTCCAAAATTATTTGAAGGGACAAACACGTAAAATGGTTTCATGCAATTTTCATTTAATCAGTACAGTATTCGTCTGAAAAAAAATCGGAAGAGTTCAACCTCACATGCTCAGAAACAAAAGAATACATTACAATACATTACAACACATTACATGACTTCTGAAGTTGTATTCTGTTGTACAAAAGTTTTTGCAACTTTAGTAACCTCTTCATTTTCAATATGAGACTAGCATGCAGAAAAAACGGACGATCATTCATCTTCTCATCCTGTGTACCAGGCTTAACACATGACAACCATGCTTGGGTAATAAAAGTGCTTTCACTTAGTGATCACTTTATATAGTTGCTTAGTGAGTATATCATGGCCACTTTTTCCAGCTAACATCTTAGGTGTAGAGTGTAAACCTATTAGCCCCTACTTGCTGATAATAAAGAGGTGAGCCACCTTCTTCAAGAAAACGAATAGATAGATTGCCCCTCAAGCACTCTTCAGTGGAGGTGAATGAGCACCAGTTGATCTTGTAATTTCTCACAACTAGATTTTCCATGGCCTGTTATAAATCTCTACACCTATGTAAAGCATGTTTTACAGAAAGGAAGAAAAAGTAATGTTTATAAGTTCCATATAAACCAGGCAGTTTAGTTCGTACTATGTTGGTTACTGTCGCCTTACTGAGTAATATTATTTATTTAATACAGGTACTTGTATAGCGCTGTCAATTTATGCTGTGCTTTACACATATATTATACATTCTCATCAGTCCCTAACCCTCTAGGGGCATACAATCTAAGGTCTCTAGCTCACATTTATACATGCACATACTAGGGCCAATTTAGACAGGAGCCAAATAACAGCCTCCCAGCATGTCTTTGGAGTGTGGAAGGAAACCAGAGTACCTGGAGGAAACCCACACAGGCACAGGGAGAACATGCAAACTCCAGGCAGGTGGTGCCGTGGTTGGGATTTGAACCAACGACCCTAGTACTGCCAGGCAGAAGTGGTAACCATTTAGCCACTGTGCTGCCCCAATATGTGGAAACTATCATTGCTGACTCTCACTTAGGCAAAGTAGTTACTGCGCTCAACCGTATTCCCAATTAGGGTAAATGAGAGAAGCGGGTGCTTTGAACCATTCCCCTGTAGGCTGAACAGTATCAGTAAAAATCCAAAAAGGTTGGCATACAGCAAGATCATGTAAACATAAAAAGATGGTTTATTCAGACATATGGTGAAAATCCATACGAACAAACTCACTTATGCATTTCAGCCTATGAGTCTTATGGCAGGTACACATGATCAGAAAATCGTATGACAGATCGTCTGTCTTTTTTCGTTTGCAAGCCTCAAATTGCAAATGGAGATGTTACTAACAATATGAATTTTTGATACTAAATATGATACTAAAATCACTTCCAGCATGTGTAACCACGTTGTAGCTTCTGAGGGGAAATTATGTAATACGTGTGTGACCCCTCTAGCCACGCCTTCAGTGTCTTTGTTCATAGTGTTGTGGATATTTCATGTGCAGACATGTTTCTTCAGTCGTCCTTCCCGTTTATTCTTTAACTTTGGCAGAAATGGAGGATTCCAGCCTGCTAATAGCTATACTATTTCAGGTTTCCGATAGCTATCTGTTTATCAATGCGTATACACAATTTTAAAACACATAACTCTGCCCCTAAATTTCACACCACAGGGGAGTAACATTTAATGAAATGTTACAGCATCTAAAGGAGAATCATCATAAAAAAGATTTAATAGAGAGAGAGCTATGGATAGCATTTGTGTATAATAAACGATTCATCTTTGATTACTTTGATTGACATTAATTACTTGGGATATTGTCAATTTCAATTCAAGATAAAAAAAATCAAAAGAGGAATGGTAAAGAAAAGGTTCACACACCATTATTTTATTTATTTTATTTCTTATTTTTATTTAATGTATTTATTTCATGTACTTTTATAGCACCGTCAATTTACACAGCGCTTTACATATATATATTGTACATTCACATCAGTTTTTAAAAATAAGTTAACATCTCACCCATAATTTAAAACCATGGGGTATTGTTGTTCCCAATTCAAAGATTCAGCATACTGTACCTATCTTTCTAATAACTTGCAATGTACAGTATATTACCTCCTCCAATAGGTTTACTCATCATCTCCACTCCATGAAACAGAGAGGTAGATATATCACCCTCTTGAGTGTCTCTAAAGTGTCTGGATACACCCAAAAAATGTTTGGTTTTCTTACTAATGGCATAGCAAAAATGTTCACTTATTCAGACCCTGAGGGGACAAATAGTGCTGCCTACGTATATATTGAATTGTACATACGGAACATTGAATCATATACACATTTTATAAATTGATGAATGGGGAATGTTCCACCTGAGGATAACGACTTGTCTTCCTTAGTATTGCTATGTACCAGACAATATCTACAAGTGTTTGCTCTACATTTAACAGACCGTACAGTAAACAACCAGGTTTTATTTATAGTGGAGTGAGATTAAAGAAGATACGTTTTTTTCTGTAATCTGTACAATGTCTCTATATTCCACTGAACAGGTGGTGACAAATGTTACTCATTTATTTTTAATTCTATACTTTTTAGTGTGCTGTTTGTTACTCTTATTTCTACAATCTATGCTCAAGTCTAAAAGACTTTCCCTAGATCTATCAGTGGCTATGCAAAGACCTCTCTGTATAAGTGCATTGGAATATCTTCTTTTGCAGGCCATAGACGGGCCGTTTATCGACCGATAAACAAAAAATTAGTTGTTGCTGATGCTGCCACCATTTCAGCATGACCAATAAAAATAAACGAGAAGATCTGCGAAAAATGGCCGACGGGCTGGCCCCACTAACGGCGTGAATATCGGCCGATTTTTCATGCAGACGAAAATTTGGCCGATAAACGACCTGTCTATGGCCTGTATTTGTCTATGTCTCTCACATATAACATCACACTGCAGAGAATGCAGTTTCATTTGAGCAATTTCTCCTCACACAGAGAAACTCCCCCCCAGGAATAGCTCTAATTGTTTGAACAGGATGAACGCTCACCACCTGCAGCTGCACTGATGGGCACTGATAGGCTGCACTGATGGACACTGACAGGTGGCACTGATGGGCACTGATGAGGAGGCACTGGTAGGTGGCACTGATGGGCACTGACAGGCATCACTGATGGGCACTGAAAGGCAGCACTCATATATGACACTGATAGGCGGCACTGATTGGTGGCACTGACTGGCACTGATAGGCGGCACTGACTGGCACTGTTAGGTGGCACTGACTGGCACTGTTAGGCGGCACTGATAGGCATCATTGATGGGCACGGATAGGCGGCACTGATGCACACTGATAGGCGGCACTGACTGGCACTTATAGGCGGCACTGATAGGTGGCACTGATTGGCAGCACTGATAGGTGGCACTGACTGGCATTGATAGGTGGCACTGACTGGCACTGATGGGTGACACTGAAAGACAGCTCAGATGGGCACTGATCTGTGGCATTAATGTGGCACTGATGGGCACTGGCAGGTGGCATGGATGAACACTGAGAGCTGGCACTGATAGACACTGACAAGTGGTGCTGCTGGGGCTACACAGATCATCAGGGCACACTGATCATCAGTGCTCTGATGATCAGTGCACATGTCCCCTCTCAGGAATGCAGATTACCAGCTCTCCTCTCCTCTGTCAGCGTGACAGCTCGTGGGGAGAGAAATTCCGATAACCGGTATTTCCCTGTTTACATGTGATCAGCTGTGATTGGACACAGCTGATCACATGACCGAGCCGACATCTTCGGCTCTTTCCGTGGATTGGTGATCCACTGTGTCCGAGGGACACAGCGCACCGCCGATCGCCGCACTGCGTGCTTTCGGAGCCGCGCATGCGCAGTTAGAATGGGAGGACATCATATGACGTCCTCCCAGAACGAGAGAACCGCCTTGCGTCCGTCATTTTACTATATGGCGGGCAGGAGGCGGTTAATACCAGAGAGGATTTTGCTCACTTTAGAAACCGCAGCTTGGCATTGCATGCCATTATCAAGCTTGTGATCTACCAGATCCCCCAGATCCTTCTCCACCATTGATTCCCCCAGTTGTACCCCCCCCCTCCCACCCCATTCATAACAGCTCTGCTTCTTTTCCTAGTGAGCTGTGATTGGCCCACAGCTGTCACATGATACATGGGGCCAATCACAGTACCCTGTACCATGTGACCAGATCCAGCCAATCACAGATCACTATCTTGAGCTGTCAAAAAGTTAATGAATGGGTTAGTTTCATGACAGCAAGCTGTAAATTGCAGGAGAAATTATCATTATTTCTCCTGCAAAGCAAAGTGTAAAAAAAAATCCCTGATCACCCCCTCACAGTAGTACAATGTTACTATGGTAACACTGTACTATTCTGCTAAAAGTATAAAAGCACCCTCGCCCCCCTACACGTGCACCTGCGTGCACAAGTTTAGACCCTGTGCCAGTATGTAAACAGCGGTTGCACCATGCATGTGAAGTATCGCCGTGACCGTCAGATCAAGGGCAGTAATTCTAGTACTAGACCTCCTGTATAAATATAAATTAGTGACCCGTAAAGGCTTTTAAAGCATTGCCTATGGATATTAATAATATATGTATTTTGTTGCCATTGCACAGCCATGCGCAATTTTAAAGCATTTCATGTTTGGTATCTATTTACTCGGCGTAACATTATCTTTTATATGTTATCAAACAATTGGGCAATATATTGTGTTTTTGTGCATTAAAATTCTAAAAAGTGTATTTTTCCCAAAAGATTTGCGTTTGAAAAATTGCTACACAAATACTGTCTGACATAAAAAATTTCAACACCCACTGTTTAATTTTCTAGGGCCTCTGCTTTAAAAAATATATAATGTTTGGGGGTTCAAAGTCATTTTCTAGCAAAAAACACCGTTTTTTGAACAAAAAGTGAACAAAAAGTGCCAGAAGAGACTTGGTCTGCAAGTTGGGTGATGTGTGGCATAAGCTTCTAATGTTGGCTCTGAATTGCCAGGATAGTAGAAGCCCCCCCCCCCCCAAATGACCCCTTTTTGGAAAGTAGACACTCCAAGGTATTTGCTAAGAAGAAAGAAAACAAAAATGTGTTTCTTCTTTTCTTTTTTTTTCTTTTTCAAAAAAAACTGTGACAAAAATGATATCTGTGAAATACTCACCATGCCTCCTATCAAATTCCTTGGAGTGTCTACTTTCCAAAAAGGGGTAATTGAGAGGGGGGGTTGTTTGTACTGTCCTGGCATTTTAGGGCCTCTGAAACTGTGAAAGGTAGTGGGGAAGTGATATGAGGGAATATGCCCTTTGAAAGCCTGGAGGTGGTCATTGGATTTTGGCTGCCAAAAAGCCTCTCACATGTGGTATTCCCATACTCGGAAGAAGTAGAAGAATGCGTTTTGGGGTGTTATTTCAAATTTTTTTTTACCAAAGACATGTAACAGAATACATTTTGGCCTAAATTTATGACTAAATTTGAGTTTATTGGATATTATTTATAACCAAAAGTGAAAAATATAATTTTTGTTCAAAATTTTCAGTCTTTTTTTGTTTATAGCGCAAAAAGTTAAAACTGCAGAGGTCATCAAATACCACCAAAAGAAAGCTCTATTTGTATGAAAAAAGGGCATACATTTTGTTTGGATGCAGCATTGCATGACTGTGCAATTACCAGTTGAAGTAGCGCAGTGCAGAACAGCAAAAAATGGCCTGGTCATGAAGGGGGAGGGGGGTAAATCTTCCGGAGGGCAAGTGGTTAAAATCACAGAGAATGACAGAGAGGGAAGACTGCACAACGCTGTCACCGCTGCCGATCCATGCTCTCAAACAATGTGTGTCACTTCCGGTTCCAAAGATCGTCACTTCCGGTTTTCACTCAACCAATCATTGACGCGTTTCATCACATCTGGACTTATTCATAGGGAGTCTAAATCCCTATGAATAAGTCCGGATGTGCCGAAACGCATCAGTGATTGGTTGAGCGAAATAGAAATAAACTCTCCTGCACTCTGAGACCCAAAAAAAGGTGGATAGATGGAACCAGAACTTGAAAAAATTCAACCACCTGTGCATATGGGGTTGTGCAGCTCCAAACAAGGCTGGGGAAGCCCGAACAATACTGTGAACCAAAAACAAAAAAGAAGCGCACCAACCTTGCGCATTACCTCAGTAGACCAAATTTTTATTGAATACAAAAATATACTCACAAACAATGAAGTATTTCAAGCATGTCAGTTCTCAAAGGAACTAGGGAATGGTAAGACCTGCGTGAGTCCCATCATAGGGGTGGACACTCAGGGAACAGCTGACGCATTTTGAAGGATGTTCAAAGGAACATATTTCGAAACGCGTCAGCTGTTCCCTGAGCGAAAACTGGAAGTGACGATCTTTGGAACCGGAAGTGGCACGCATTGTTTGAGAGCGTGGATCGGCAGCGGTGAGAGCGTTGTGCGGTCTTCCCTCTCTGACATTACCTTCACTGCATGTCAAGAGATATATCTTTGGGCTTATCTTGAATTTTGTTCTTGTAAGTGAGTTTATTTGAGCAGAGATTAAAGAGTTTTAAAGGATACTACACTATGTTGGGTCTCTATTTTCTCTCTTTCGCTTAATATGGAGAAATACCTCCAAGAAATTTAGGTCTGGAGTGTTGGAGCCATTCTGGGGAGATTATTGTGGAAAGTCTGGTAGTGAGGCTGTTTATTTGAAGTGTTGGAATCATTCTGGAAGGAATTGATGCATATGAGTGAATATCCTGATCTGGAGAAATATATGTTTAAACAAAAGTGCATTTTGCCAACCATGAGAGTGGGAGGCAGATAAAGCTGGTGAGTGCACTCCTTAAGGGGGAGCACAGCACAGTTTTGAAGATTTTTTACAGTCGTTGTGGTGATTTTATTTTGCGTTATTCAATTCACATGATGGATATAATGAGAACTTTTTTGATGGACTCTTGTGTTTATTCATTTTTTATTATATGATGGTTCATTATATAATTTATATAATTAATTTGTATGGTTTATAGAGCACTGTATATTTTGGGATTTTCAAAATATTTATTTGGTCACAATTATTTATAGAAGAAAACATCAGCTTTATATCACATTATTCATTTATGATTATTATATTATATTTTTTTACACTATTAGGAGCGCAGTTTATGTTCAGATAGTGGACTATACATACATACCAGCACCGCATGTATATATTTTCCACTCAAGGATATACCATTTGATACACATATATGCGTCCTCTCTGTGGTTGGGCTTTAACACAAAGAGGGCGCATATATATTTCCCAAATTTAAACATTTCTGTGCTGAGAGTGCACGCCCTGCATGCTCCCGATACAGTTGCTGGCGGGTACTGGAAAGCTCCCGATACCTACTTGCGATCGGGTGCTTTCTGATCATTTGATCGCTGTGACTGCCAATCACAGCGGTCGCATGATTGCAATGTCCACCTGTGCCTGCCAGCATTTAGAACTTCTTAAATGGCCAAGTGGCGGCAGTGGGAAGGGGGTTAAAATGTATGTAAAGCTCAAAATTATTTTCTAGATTTTAGGCCGGAGTGGTGAAGGTAAAATATCTATCACCCTTCTCTATTTGTCCTGGAAGCCATTGGCACAGAGACTAAAAGTGAAGGAAAATCCAAAATGTTGAGTTATTACCAGAACATAAATAGAGGGGAATCTTTCAATTGGGACACATCAATGACATCAAAGAGGACGTTTCCATGTGAGACAGCAAGTGAAGGAAAAACTCCCCAATGAGATACACATGGCAAAAAACAGGTTTTAATTCCTCCTTAGTTATTTCAAAATCAAAAAATATTTGGCTTTAAATCTTCTTCAAAACCTCTCTGTGAGTGGGCCAGATCTTGCACTGCTCTATGTAGAAGAGCGAAGTACTGCCATTGTCACACTCAAGTGAGACTCCTGGTGGGTCCCCCTGTTTCACTCAGCTGCTTAAGGACAGGCTCCTGACCCAACATTTTGGAGGTTTTATTTCGGCTCATTATTACTTTTTTAATGCATACTAAGTATTTACAAAGATGGTAACTGTTTTAGACATTGTAGAAAACTAAAAATCATACAATTCCAAACAAATTGTCACCAAAAATAAATAAGTGAACCAAAAAGCTGAATTACAGATAATTTTGAAATTATATTCAAATTAAAACATATTTAGGGAAAAATATTGCTGAAGAGGCAACAGTCAGGATATGATGTACATCTATACTACATGTACAGATATAATCATCTTTGTGACCACTTGAATTCTGAATTGATACCATCAGGTGGAACAGTAGTTTTTTACATTTTGTTGTCTCCCAGCTCGCTAAAATGCTTTTTCATTGAAAAAGAAAAGCAGAGACCTGAATTGTTCATTCATTGTTGTCTGAAATAATACCTGATTCAATGCAATAGCTATTTCATGGTCATTGGAAATCAATATTCAGTCAACACAATACCTTAAGACACCTTTTGAGAAGGATTTTGTATGTTAATTTCCCAGACCCTGGCCATGAGTTATGTGCCTTCAGACAAAACAGAAACTGCTTGGCCAGTTGTCAAAACATGGGAGTTGTTTACTGTAGCCTCCTGGAATCCATTTTAAGAGAGAGCTCAGACGCAATACACAACCTCAGTGAGATAATGAGTATTTAATAACCAGACTAGTGGAGAGCAACTGTTCATGTATATAATTTAAACTATGAATTATGTTATCCATTTATAATAGTTACTTGTGCTATACATTTGTTTGATTATAGATTAAATGCATTTATTTTTTCCTATTTATTTATTTACTTACTCTAT